ACAGAACAGGAAGGGAAAGCAGTGGAGAGCAAATCTGTGTGATAAAACAAGGTTGGGAACAGCCTTCTGGAGAAATTAACTTGAGTTAGGAAAGAAAATGCAGGGACTAGTAATGCTCTTCTCTCTGTCCAAGCTCCTCAAATGGTTTATAAATTGTATTGAATTCAGACTTTATCCCTCTCATTTCCCCTTGAATTATTCCTCCTAACATTGCATAGTGTGACTTTTGTATAAAATTATTTGCAGTGTTAGTTTGATAGAAGACTATATCCCAATTATTATGAACTCTTAAGTATTTTGTTTTGTCTTGTTTGTAACTATTTGTCTTTCTAGGACTATCAGAGACCTCAACATTTTCTTATTTTGAAATAATAGTGCCAAGAAAGCTAGAACCAAGAGATGGCATTGGCAACAAGGTAATACTGTTCTTTTAGAAAATTTCAATTGTGATGCTGCATCAAACCAATGTTCCATTAATCTTATCTTTGACAATGGACAGTATCAAATACTTCGGTGGACAGTGTAACACCTCTATAAAAAAGTGTGCAGTAGAGAAAGTGTCTTTCTAATTCTGAGTAATTAATGGTTTTGGTCTGTTCTGAAGCACAGGAGTTGGTATGTTTAATGTGGAACACGGTGGGCATGAATAGCTAAATCATCTGACAATGGGGAAAACATATTTTTTCTTGAAGGATCCAAGAATTTAGGAGACATTAATATGGAATCGAAGCCCTACATAATGATTAATGTATTTATTGTCACAATGCTCCTGTGAGGTAGGAAAGTACTTTTATTCCATTTTACAAATGGGGAACTGAGGCCCCAAGTTCACACAAATCTTGGGTCTTCATGGTAGAGTAGGGAATTGAACCCAGCTCTTTCACTAGTGTTCTAACCACTCAGCTATCCTTCCAATAACTATTCTAGGGAAAATGCCAAGACCCAGCACAGAGCGGGTATGTCTACACAGCAGTGTTATTTCAGAATAACTGTTATTCCAAAATAACATAGTCTGCATCTACACTACAAGCAGTTACTTTAACATAATGTCAAAATAATGGTGAGCTGGAGAACTTCTTACTCCAACTCCTGTAACCCTCGTTTTATGAGAAGTAAAGGAAGTCGGAGGAAGAGTGCTCTAACTTGGACTTCATGCTGTGTAGACAGCCCCCAAAACCAAAATAAGCTATTTAGACTGTTATGCAATTGACATAGCTGAAGTTGCATACCTAGGGCTGTGCAGATAAGCCCTAGAATGGCTTAGGCATACCACAAGCAGGAAATGATTGAACTTGGTGAGCTGGAAAGTACCATTATGACTGATTATTCCTGTCTGTAACCTTTTTGGTAGGGGGGAAGCTTTAAGAAGTAGGTCTGGCATTCTCCTGGAGTACTGGGATTTTAAGTTCATTCTCTATGTCATCTGAAAGGTATTTTTGCTTGATAAGTCATATTCTACATATATATTTCATTATAATTTCGGGAGTCTTATTACCTGTGCTCATGTCATATTGGGAATATGCTACAAGACTTTTTATGACCTTTATGTGGTAAAAGTTCAGAAGAACCCTAAGTTCCTATGACTTCTATCATGAATAAGAGAAGCAAATATGGGGTTAAAAATTGTCCCCATAATTCTGAAAAGTAGAGGAAGAAAAACACCAAAATATGCCAACCACTTCCAGCGAGATTTAAACTTTCTATTGTTCACTCCTGTGGTGGAAATACCCTCCCAATGTTTCCACCTGGAATGATATGACTCCATCCCATGGCTAATTCTAATGTTGTGACTAAATGCTGCAACATAGTCCTTAAGATAAAACTGGAATGGGTTACCTAGGGAAGTAGTGGAGTCTCCATCCCTAGAGGTGTTTAAGTCTCGGCTTGACAAAGCCCTGGCCGGGTTGATTTAGATGGGATTGGTCCTGCCTAGAGCGGAGGGCTGGACTTGACGACCTTCTGAGGTCTCTTCCAGTTGGGTTTATGAAGGGGATGGTTTGATGAGGTAACATGATCTTGGTAACTAATTGACCATTCATTTTCAGTGGGAAATATGTCAATGGAGGGATGATAGGAGTTACTATAGAGAATTTCTGGGTGTCTGGCTGGTGAGTCTTGCCCACATGCTCAGGGTTTAGCTGATCGCCATATTTGGGGTCGGGAAGGAATTTTCCTCCAGGGTAGATTGGCAGAGACCCTGGAGGTTTTTCGCCTTCCTCTGTAGCATGGGGCACAGATCACAGCTGGAGGACTCTCTGCATCTTCGGACCTTCAAAGTATTTGAAGGCTTCAATATCGGAGATATAGGTGAGAGGATTATTCTAAGAGGGGTGGGTGAGATTCTGTGGCCTGCACTGTGCAGGGGGTCAGACTTAGATGATCATAATGGTCCCTTCTGACCTTAAAGTCTATGAATCTATGAATCTATGACTAAAATAGTAACGTACAGTGACAGTTGTAAAGCTGTTTAGATGTTTAAATAAGCAGATAGGCACCTAAACACTTAAAAAATCTGGCCCTTTCCCAATATATTTTGAAACATACCTCTTCTGAAAATGCTTGCATCTTCACACATTTATTCAGGATCAATTTGAGATTGCAAAGTAATGTGATAAAGGTTTTAGTGTCAGCATTTAGGTTCTCTTTACACTAAGGGCATTTTCTATATATTTCTCTCCCCCCTTCCCCCCAATTAGGCTGCACTTAAGCCTAATGTTAACCAGGCTTCCAGAACCATAGCCTGTTTTTCATATTGTGGGTTAAACTTGCTCTGGGATAGCTCCCATGATGCCACTGGACTTCTGGCTGCTTAGGACATGACTTACGAAATCCCTGTTCTCCCTCAGTTAGTCCCACCCCATTGTCAAATGATCCTTAAGTTAAATACTGTTGTGACCATGGAAAGTCAATTTATACTAAGGATTCCAATACTGCTAACAGTGATCCAGATGAACCAATGTTACTGCTTCAGAAAATATTCAGAAAACTTCTCTAGTGCAGAAGGTACTTTTAACACAGTCAGAGGAAATATAGAGGATACATTTTTCATAAAATGGAATACAGAATAGGGATTGATTAATATGAGTTTTAGGATACCATTAAGGGTTTTTTTATTATTATTTTAATGCTCTAGGAGGAGGTGTCTTATCTTATTAGAGCAGAAGGAAAAGACTATATTATTCACCTGTTACAAAAGAAGTAAGTGACTGCTTTGGTTGAAACCTTTAATCTGCTCTATTTATAGATAAATAGGTGTGTGTGTGGCTTTGTAATAAAGCCATGAAGACTTAATCTAGATGTGGAAAAATAACTGAAATGGTAAAATATGAGAAAAGGGACTTAAGGAATACTGCTTATATGGGAAACAGTTAGAGGAGTAATAATTATGGAGAGACAAGTGTCTCCATATTTTAAAGTTAAAATTACATTTCTATTTTATAAACTTGATTTTTTACATACTTTCTAACTTTGCCAAGAACAAACCAATCCACATGAAACTCTACACATGTATAATCTGCCAGAAAAGATCTTTCAGGAAATTTTGAAACACATTGGGGAATCAATAAAAGACAATGAAAATTAAAAAAAGAATGCAAGTAAAATGGGGAATATGGACAAAATCAGAAATACAAACGTACAAAATGAGTTACACCTAGTAAGGGACATATAAGGGAATTTAATTTTATAAATGCATTGGAAGCAAGAAAAACATTACCTAGAGAACTGATCTTAAATCAAGAAGATGAAATTCAATAAAGACAAGAACAAAGTACGGTACTATAATTAGAAAGGGAAAATTGATTGCACAACTACAAAATCAGGAATAACTGGATAGGCAGTATTGGAAAGGAACAGTGCAATGTTTTTAAAAAAAGGCTAATATCATTCAGTATGTATGAACAAGAGTATCATGTTTAAGGTACAGGAGATAATTTTCTATCTCTAGTTGGCACAGGTGAGGCCTCAGAGTACTATGTCCAGTTCTGCGCTCCATATTTAGGAAAGATGGGGACAAATTGGAGAGAATATGGAGGAGAACAATAACATTAATAAAAGGTGTAGAAAACATGATGGGTGAGGAAAGGTTAAAAATGGTAGGCATGTTTGGTTTTGAGAGAAGACTGAGTGGGTACCCAATAAGGGTATAAGCCGCGTTATTTTGGAATAACTGATGTTATTTTGAAATAGTGCACATCTACACAGCAAGCCATTATTTCAAAATAAAGCTGAGATGGAGGACTTCTTACTCCGAATCCTGTAATCCTCATTTCATGAGGAGTAAAGGAAGTCAAAGGAAGAGTGTTCTTCCTGCTACATAGACAGTGCCAAAAGCCGAATGAAACTGTTTTGACTTCAGCTATGCAAGGGTATGTCTACACGAGCCCCCTAGTTCGAACTAGGGTGGCTAATGTAGGCATTCGAACTTGCAAATGAAGCCCGGGATTTAAATATCCCGGGCTTCATTTGCATGTTCCCGGGTGGCCGTCATTTTTAAATCCCCTTAGTTCAAACTGACCGCCCGCGGCTACGCTACACACAGCATTCAGAAGTTAATCCGAACTAAGTCCTTAGTTCGGATTAACTGTTACACCTCATTGCAGTAGGAGTAACAGTTAATCCGAACTACGGACTTAGTTCGGATTAACTTCTGAATGCTGTGTGTAGCCGCGGGCAGTCAGTTTGAACTAAGGGGATTTAAAAATGGCGCCCACCCGGGAACGTGCAAATGAAGCCCAGGATATTTAAATCCCGGGCTTCATTTGCAAGTTCGAATACCTACATTAGCTACCCTAGTTCGAACTAAGGGGCTAGTGTAGACATACCCCAATTGACGTAGCTGAAGTTATATATTTTAATTGACTTTTACCCTGCAGTGTAGATGTGCCCTAATAGTCCTCAAGTATGTTAAGGGGTGTTATAAAGAAGACCGTGATCAGTTGTCCTCCATGTCTGCTAAAGGTAGGATAAGAAATAATATGCAGAAAGGGAGATTTAGTTTAGCTACTAGAATCAACATTCTAACTTTAATAATAGTCAAGCTCTGGGATAAGTTTTCAAGGGATTTTGTAGATTCCCTGTCATTGGAAGGTTTTGGCAGGGATGGTCTAGGTTTACTTGGTCCTACCTCAGTGCAGGGGACTCAGCAAGATGTCCTCTTGAGGTTCCTTCCAGACTTACATTTCTATTATTTCAATGAATATGTTTCAGAGAGATGAGAATTCCAAGAGCAAGACATTCCTCTTTGAGGTGATGAATGCATATCAGCACTTTTAGGAGGTATGTTTCCTAGTGCTGCTGGGCTGTGTGAACCTCCTAGAAAGCAAGGCCCGTAAATCCACATAAAGGCTCCCTCCTGGAGCTGATGTTCTGAGCTAAGGTTAGAAAATGTCACACAATGTCATATTGTCTTGGTTTCACTTTTTGGCACATAGCTGTAGATGTGGGCATCTTCACTCTGTGCCTGGAGAGAAGTTCTTCATTAATTTGACTGAAAATCTCCTGTCAGCTACATAATCTTTCTGGGTTTGTCATGGTGGGTACTGTTGTGTTTGTGAGAGAAAGAGCTTTCAAATGGTAGTCAACTTGACTAATTTCTAATTACATTATCAGAGGGGTAGCCGTGTTAGTCTGAATCTGCAAAAGCGACGAGGAGTCCTGTGGCACCTTATAGACTAACTGAAGTGTAGGAGCATAAGCTTTCGTGGGCAAAGACCCACTTCGTGGCATGCATCTGACGAAGTGGGTCTTTGCCCACGAAAGCTTATGCTCCTACACTTCAGTTAGTCTATAAGGTGCCACAGGACTCCTCGTCGCTAATTACATTATGTGATCTTTGCATTGTGTACATTCTGTTCACATGATTTTCTTCACTACTGCAATGGCTAGTAATATTTTGTAATGAAATATTTTTAGAACACAGCTCTATGGCAAGAAATGAATTATACACCAAAGTCACATCTGCAGAATATATTGTCCTGACAAAAATCATAGAATATAGAACACTAAAACTGGAAGGGACCTCAAGAGATCATCAAGTTCAGTCTCCTGCCCTCACAGCAAGACCAAGCACAGTCTAGAATCTAGATTATCCCTGATAGATCTCCATCTAACTTGCTCTTAAATATCTCCAGTGACTGAGATTCTGTAACTTTCCTAGGCAATTTATTTCAGTGTTTAACCACTCTGACAGTAAGGAAGTTTTTCCTAATGTCCAACCTAAACCTTCCTTGCTGCAGTTTAAGCATGGTGCTTCTTGTCCTATCATCATCATTCCTCCCTCGCCCCGCCTGTGACACCCTTTTAGACACCTGAAAACCTCTATCATTTCCCGTCTGTCTTCTCTCTTCCAAACTAAACAAGCCCAATTCCTTCAGCCTTCCCTCATACCTCATGTTTTCTAGGCCTTTAATCATTCTTATTGCTCTTCTCTAGACCTTCTCCAATTTCTCCATAACTTTCTTGAAATGTGTTGCCCAGAACTGGACCCAATACTCTAACTGAGGCCTAATCATGGCAGAGTTGAGTGAGAGAATGACTTCTCGTGTCTTGCTCACAACACTCTGAAATATTTATTTGTGTAAATCCTATTTATTTCAGTGGGAGCTAGGTACCTGAATACCTTCATGTGATCTGGTCTTTAGATCATATGTAACCTACAGTTCATATACATCAAGATTGCATGCAGCAGGGTCTTTGTTTTTGGATTTCTAATTTTCGATTTTTGTAATCATTATTTTCAGAATGTTCATAGCTCCACATTTCCCAGTTATTACTTACAATCAGAAGGGAGACTTGATAACAGATTATCCATATATACAGGTAAGTGTGTGACATGTACTTTAAAAGGTACAATACTGAGTACAATTAAGCTGCTGTGCTCTAAAAACTGAATATATAAAAGTGGCAACATCAAGAGCAAATGTGTGGGAAGCTATTGGATTATAATTTGTGGGTTTATTCTGTGTATTCAGACAACTGTGGGCTGAAGACTGGCATTTATATCCCTAAGTATTAGTGGCAACCCAAATAAAATACTTTTAATTAATTAGCCAAATTCTAAATGAAGGAAGGGATAACATGCAGAAAATGGGCAAAAACACTGAAAAGTTTAAAATGCTTTTTTAAAAAAAGTTTAAAAACCTTATTTGTCCTTCCAACTCTCTCCTCATTTCCATTTTCCCTCCCTGTTGGTGAGCAGAGTTCTTCTACTCTGACTAGCTGCAAAATGCTTTTGATTTAAAATTAAAGCCTATGACTTTCAGATGCTGGGGCTCTACAATGCTTGGTTTTGCTATGGACTGAACTTGATGATATCTCAAGATCCCTTTGGGTACATCTACACAGCAGGCATAAAGTTGAATTAAGCTATACAACTTCTGCTATGTCAATTGCGTAGCTTAAGTCGGGATAGCCTAACTCAACTTTTGTCACTGTCTACACAGCAGGAAATCGAAGGAAGAACACTCTTCCTTCAACTTCCCTTACTCCTTGTAAAATGAGGGTTACAGAAGTCAGAGTAAGAAATCTCTCAGCTCGACATTATTCGAAATAGTGGCTTGCAGCGTAGACTCACTCTTTGTTATTTCAGAATAATGTCAGTTATTCTGAAATAACGCTGCTGTGTAGACGTACTATTTCAGACCTATGATTCTATGGCAAGGGGATGGATGAGTGCCCCATTCTGTTCGTTCCCTCTGAAGCACCCCACATTGACCACTATTAGGAGATAGAATAGGGGGCTAGTCGAACCATTGGTATGACCCAATATGGCCATTCTTGTGTTCCTACATTCTTACATTCAAATGTTAGGGAATTTTTTTCCAAATACATAATAAATGTACACAGAAATGTATAGTTAGGGCAAGGACATAAGAGATGCTGAGTGGTAGCATGAAGTGGAGTTGATAAGTGTAATAGTGGGAAGGGCCCAGACTTTTTCCTCTTGAAGTCACTGGCCAAACTCCTGTTGCTCTCACTGAGAGGAGGATTGATTGTGCCTGAATAAAGGAAATCAAAGAAAGACATTTTAAAAAACACTTTCAATAAAATTCTCACGTACAGACAACCCCCCACCTGAAATGAATTCTTTCCAGTAACCATGCTACACAACCACATCATAAGCATCCAGGAACCCAGCCCTGCAACCAGCTGCGGTGCCAACTCTGCCCTCATATCTATACAAGTGAATTCATCACTGGAGCCAACAACATAAGCCACCAAAATAACTGCACATCCAGTAATTTGATCTATGCCATCAAATGCCAGCAGTGCCCCATTGCTATGTATTTTGGACAAACTGGACAGTCCCTATGGGAAAGAATCAATGGACACAAATCAGAAATACATAAAGGGAACATACAGAAACCTGTTGGGGAACACTTCAATCTACCTAATCATGGTTTAAAAGATCTTCAAGTGGCTGTCTTGTCACAAACCAGTTCCACTAGCCAAATACACAGAGAGGCATTGGAATTACAATTAATTTACAAATTCAATTCTTTTCACTAAAGTCCTGCAGTGCCAAGATTCACCCTGTAAGGGGCTTTAGGCTTTTGTGGTGACCCCAACCAATCAGACATAATGGGGTAATGAGCATATGGGAACTCAGCTACTCTGCTCTTATTTACCTCTTCCACTGAATAATGAGAAAAGAGATTTATGCAAGTTAGACAGAAGCAGATCTGTAATTTCCTGAAATGTGTATTTTGATACAATCACTGGAATTGTATATTAAGTTTGAATTAATTAGTGGTAACAACAGATGTTCTGTCTCAAGGTGGGTGTCAGCATATCCATGGAATATTGGGGAGGTAATCCTGCTGTGTGTGAGCTTGTTTTTTTTTATAAGTAATGAATTAGGCCTAAGTGTGTACAGCTTATGAGTTCTGCTATTTTATATGATCTATACCCTACTATACTTTACATATTGCAGTAGTCTAAATAGGTCCCAATTATTATGTACAAATACATGAATAGGAAACTTCAGTCCTGCTTGTCAATATTTTGTATAAAATCCCCATGTGTGACAATTTGATGCTCCCTTCAATGACAATTCATTTAAGTAGTCCCTGTGGCACCTTAGCCATTGCCTACACTAGTGTCCATGCTATCAAGCCCTTTATTTCGAAATAATGGGCCACTTATTTCTAAAATTTGTATTCCTGCTTTCCTTGGGGAATAACACTAATTTCGAAATAGTTATTTCAAAATAGCAATAGTGTGGAAGCTATTTCGAAATAACTACTCCCTACAGTAATTTAAACTAATTATTCCCTAGTGCTTGCTGGGGCTCTAAGTCTAGTGCGTTCATATTAATGGAGCCTGCCTCAGACTAATTTCGTGGCTTTCCCATAGTGGGGACACGCTCTTTCAATTTTGTAAAATTGGGAGTTAAGTCAAATTTAGTTATTTCAAAATAATTTCCTAATGTGGATCTGCCCTTGTAGACTAACAAATATATAAGATTATGAGCTTTCCTGGGTAAAGCACACGTCATCAGATGAGTTTACCAACAAAAGCTCATGATCCCATATATTTGTTAGTCTTAAGATGCCAGAGAACTACCTGCTACTTTTAAAGTTACAGTCTAACATGGCTACCCCTCTGAGAAATTAATTTAATTAATTTGAAAAAGGAAGAATGGTTTATTTTCTTAAGAGATTTGTGAATTCTTCTGATCAAGGACCTGTTGCAAGTGAATGGAGCCAGATAATACTTTAACTTTTACACAGTTGTCTTTTCAAGTTAAAAAAATATTATTATTCTGGAGGAGGGCTGCCTCCAGCATTAGGGAAATTGGGAACAAGCAATAGTCTGGTCATGAAAGACCTGAGAAAGAATATATAAAAATAAATCTCTGCATTTTAACTTTTCTGTTTCTTGCCAGCATTCCTATAGATCAGCCTTGTGACAGGTGGTATCATATTTTAATATAAATCAGTACTTTTTTCTAACCCATTTGGAGTACAAGTTTAAGCAAATGTATATAGTTTGGGTGTTAAACTGAAGCTGCTTCACCCTCCTCCTCTACCTTCTCTGGACTGCACTAAATGAGAAAAATGAATGTAATTTCCATCATTCGTTGACGCTAAGGCTGCAGAAGTGTGACCAGTAAGATAAGCTAGGAATTCATTGTGTGAAAGGTGCAATATAGGAGGAACTCCCTTTTGAAGCTCACTCAGTTTCAGCTGCATTGTCTGCACAGTTAATGTGATTAAAAAGCAGCAAAACTAGTTTTTGCTATGAAAGTCAACAGATCTAACTCTGGAACAGATCTGCTGAGTGGAAAAGTATTATTTATAAAAAGTCACTTTTCATCTTAGAAACACAATTTGAGAGCAGATGCAAAATAATATAGTTCTTGTGTTGCATTAGTTTAATTTTCATAGAATCATAGAATCCTAGGGCTGGAAGAGACCTCAAGAAGTCATCGAGTCCAGCCCCCTGCCCAAAACAGGACCAATCCCAACAAAATCAACCCATCTGGGGCTTTGTCAAGAGGGGACTTAAAAACCTCTAGGGATGGAGATTCTATCACCTCCCTAGGTAACCCATTCCTGTGCTTCACCACCTTCCTAATGAAATAGTTTTTCCTAATATCCAACCTAGACCTCCCCCCCTGTAACTTAAGACCATTGCTCCTTGTTCTGCCATCTGTCCCCACTGAGAACAGCCTCTCTCCATCCTCTTTGTAACCTCCCTTCAGGAAGTTTATGTAGCTAATATCTGTTATCCTATGTAACTAGAATTAATAGTAAATAAGAAAACCTTATTTTTTTCACTTTGCAGGATGAATGCTACTACTCTGGATATGTGGAGGGTATCCCGGAATCTGTAGCAGTTCTCAGCACCTGCTCTGGACTCTGGTAATGTCAGCCTCTCAATCTGTTAGATTGTAAACAATGTAAAATATATTCTTCTGAAATGGAAATAGAGATTTGCCATAACAGAATCATTTGGTTACTGTCGCCTTTTCCTAATGCAGATTTCATGCAAACTAGTTCATAAGGGTCATTTCATAGGGCTAGAATCAAAAGTTTGTGATCTTATTTTCTTTATTTTATAAATTATAAAAGAATGTAGTGCAGCAATGACTGATCTGGGGCATGGGGGTCACTTGGCATTCTTCCATCTCCTAATTCTTGCCTTTCCAGAGTTGCTGAGTTACCAAGAACATTTGTATTAGATTGTGAATTGAAAATGTTGCTTGCTAATAGCACTTTTCTTTCAGGAGGGAAGTGAGGAAGTTTCGATATTGCAAAATTGTATAATTCTATTGTATAGTATTGTATAATTGTATTGGGGTGGGGAATCTAAGACCTGGGGGGGGGGCGCTCTGATGCAGCCCCCAACTTGCCTGGATCTAATCCCTGAGGCTTGGGGATCCCCCAGTATTGGGGAGCCCATGTTGGAGAGGGGTAGCTTTTTTTGTTTCTCACTTGTGTGCAGCCCCCAATTTATTTTTCTGTGGGTCGGTGGCCCTGGACCCAAAAAAGGTTTCCCTGCCCTGGTATAATCCATCAAAAATAATTGAGATAAAAAATTCCTGACCATCTCTAAACTTTTATGTAGATATTTTAAGCAGTTTTTAAGTTTCAGTTCTGAGTCCCTTAATTACATTTCAATTTTGCAATTCTCAGGGGACATTTGATGGTTTACGATTTAAACTATGAAATTGAACCTGTTAAATCTTCTTCTACATTTCAACACATTATTTATCGAACGATGGCTGAAGAAGATTCACCTGGTCGATGTGGAGTAATTGATGTAGATATCAAAGACCAAGCAGCTGAAAACAGAGAACATCAAATACCTGAATTTCAAACTGAGAGACAGCTTGCTATAGGTGTAAGTGTTCTCAATAGATTCACGAAGAGTAAATGGTTATTACGTAGAACATATTAAGCTGTGAATGTTAGGGCCATCTTTAAAAATTGTTACAAATGAGCTTACCAGTGCTGAAAATTCACTTTGTATTCAGCTAAACAAAATAATTCTGTTCTTCCATAGTTTGTCCATTTACAATTCTGGAACCTAAAACCATTTCTGACATTGTGAAGAAAGCAGTTTGTCAAAATCATGTAATCTATGTTAAAGCTGTGTGCCTAAATCCCCCAGTTCTTCTTCGAGTGGTCCCTGTGGGAGCTCTTGAGTGGAGCATGGTGTCCGGCTTGTCCCAGTGCTGCAGTTCAGAGGCTTTGCATGGCTGTGTTTTGCGCTGTTTGCACCCTTTGATCTTCGCACCCAACCGGCTCCCCGCTCAGTTCCTCTCAACCATCCTTGACCACAGATGGAGCTCCGATTCTCTCAGCATTCTTTCAGTCTCCTCCGGGGAGCTGTAGATAATTGTAAATAGTTATCCTCTCCTTCCTTTAACTGTTCTTCTCTTATCTAAACAAAACAAGAAGAAGAAAGAGACTTGTTAACACTTTGATAAAACCGTGGCTTCCCGAGGTCAGTGACTAATGGCTTTAGCCTCAGGGGGTTAAACTGACAACACTATTAACAGAAGACAAGTTTAACTCAGTCATGCCTGGATCCCCAGGTTTCAAAAACTGTTCGCTATGCGGGGAGTCCATGCCAGCCTCAGATGGGCATTCAGTGTGTATACGCTGCCTAGGGGAAACCCATATTCCCCCAAAATGCGGGCACTGCTCTAAAATGACAGCCACTCCCGCTGAGACAGGGAAATGAGCCTCAAATTGTTACTATTCAACAGGCGCTGGACCCCAATATAATGGTTACAGGACAACTTGGGGGGACCCAAAAACAAAGGGTCTCCTACCCTGAGCTGACTGCACATAAAAGAAAGAAAACTTCACCTGCGAGATCGCTCCCGCCTGAGAGGACCGCAGGGAATAAGCTAGGGTCCTCTGGCTCTGTCCCATGACCCTCAGTGCCTGGGTTGGGGGCAAAAACAAAGAAGATCATGGCGTCCAAACGATCCTCTTCAGCACTGAAAGCAGCCTGGGTACCAACAAGCGACGCCCGCATTTCAAAGGCGCCGGCACCACTCCATTCAACCCCGCAGGCAATGCTGGAGCAACAGCGACCCTCACGGGCAGGATCGGCACCAAAAGGAACTCTCCCGGCATCGGCGAGTGAGCCAACTCTGTTGTCGGCACCGCGGAGTAGTCCCACAGTGCAAACAACCCCGGCACCGACAAAAACAGTGGTGCCGCAACTGATTCAAACACCAGCACTGGAGAAGGAGCCGGAGACGGCACCGACCCAACCAAAGGCACCAATGAAAGCAGCTGCAAGAACACTGAGACAGGGGACTACTCACTTCCCATCTCCAAGGTTTTCACCGGGACCTTCCCCTTCTCCTCCAATGTACCGATCGCCTCTGCAGCATGCCTACTGGCAGCACAGCCCAAGATAGCAGTTCTACCACAGACGCTATTCTCCATGTGGACACTCTTGCTATAGTGACTATAGGCACCGATCCTACAGGTGGTCACCACACTATCAGTTATTTTCTATATGCCAGCTACGATAGGTGACATACCAGCTGTAGATCATCCAGGTATTCGTCACTCCATCCATCAGATCGATATTATGATCACCACCACAACTCCCCATATTCTTCATGTTCGCACTTCCACCAGCGTGCACATCAACAACCCTCATGCGCTGACCTGTCACCTATGAGGCATATGCTGCCACAGCAAAACCATAGTCGCCAGCTGACCTCTCCAATACACAGTCTGGGCGCCACAACACAGCGCTCCGAGCTGGAAGACGGCCAATTGTTGGAAGCGGAGAACCAGCAGACTGAAAACCCAATTCCTGACTGTTCATCCTCTTCACCTGATGAGGCGGTCTTCCCAGCAGACATATCTCCGCCGGATGACTTCAGACAGTTCCAGGACCTCTTCAAGCGAGTGGCCCAGTCCCAGGAAATCCAGCTAACAGAAGTGCAAACGAAACAGTATCGACTACTAAAAAATCTGCACCAAAGGCAGAGTGCAAAAGTTGCCGTCCCTATTGATGAAGCTATCATGGAGGCGGCAGAGATCATCTGGCAGACACCAGAGTTGGTGTCACTGACCTGCAGGAGAACAGACAAGAAATATTTTGTCCCTTCCAAGAATCTTGAGTTCCTGTTTATCCATCCACAGCTGAACTCCTTGGTGGTAGATGCGGCACAACAGCAAGCCAAAACACCAGTATAAGGCAACATCAGATGTCAAAAAGCTAGACATATTCAGTAGAAAAGTATATTCCTCTGCAACCCTGCTCCTACTCATGGCTAATTATGCTGCCTTGTTATCTAATCACAACTTTGATAACTATGAGAAGATAGCACAGCTCCTTCAATACCTGCCAGAAACTAAGCGCCCCCTCTAATAGTCCCTTGTGCAAGAGGGTTTTGTGGAAGCATGAGTAAGTTTGCAAATCTCGTTGGATGTGGTGGACACAGCAGCCCACATGCAACTATTGATGGGCAGTTGACCTTTGCCCACCCCTTGACCAAGATATTGCTTAAGGGAATAACAAACCTTAAGCCCTGCCGAAGACCCGTACCTCCTGCTTGGAGCTTGGACTTGGTGCTGGACATGTTGATGTACCCACCCTTCGAGCTGCTATCCACAATATCGTTATCTATGCTCAACATGAAGGTGGTATTCCTACTGGCAATCACATCCGCCCGTAGGGTTAGTGAATTGGTGGTACTAATGGCAATGCCACTGTTCATGGTTTTCAACAGGGACTCGGTCACGTTGTGCACTCATCCAGCCTTCATCCCTAAAGTCACTTCACAATTTCATGTCAACTAACCCATCATTTTACCTGTCTTTTATCCAAAACCCCATGCCTCTACTCGAGACTCGTTGTTCCATACCTTCGATGTACGTCGAGCTATAGCATTTTATATAGACAGAACACGGACCTGGCACAAAACTGACTGCCTAATAGTATCCAATTTCCTCACCATAATTACTTACCTTGGTCACAAATCATTAGTCAGCTTCTTCAGTTCCTACTCTCTGAAGTTCCTGTATCACCGAACCTATCTCCTATTGCATTTGTGGCAGTGATTTTGGGATCTTGTGGTCCAAGAAGTATATTTTCTCATAAGCTATGAAGTGTTGAAATGTCCACTTACGAACCACATATCTTGTCCCTTAGTGTGTCCATCAGCATTTACTTCTCTTCTCTTCTCTTCTCTTCTCTTCTCTTCTCTTCTCTTCTCTTCTCTTCTCTTCTCTTCTCTTCTCTTCTCTTCTCTTCTCTTCTCTTCTCTTCTCTTCTCTTCTCTTCTCTTCTCTTCTCTTCTCTTCTCTTCTCTTCTCTTCTCTTCTCTTCTCTTCTCTTCTCTTCTCTTCTCTTCTCTTCTCTTCTCTTCTCTTCTCTTCTCTTCTCTTCTCTTCTCTTCTCTTCTCTTCTCTTCCCTTCCCTTCCCTTCCCTTCCCTTCCCTTCCCTTCCCTTCCCTTCCCTTCTTTCATTCAGCAGAAAGGAATGTATAGCACATTCCAAGTAAGTCACAGCAGTTGTTCTCTCCTCATCCATACCTACTATATGGTGCAGAGCCATAGCTAAACAAAAGGAACCATCAAAACTCCCCTGTTTACCTACTCAAGAGTTCACTTGGAAACTCATTTATATACTAAATCTCATTGCTTAGCTCTTTTGTCTCACTGTCAGGGAGGGTTTAATTCCTCTGAGCTTTCAAACACCGAATCTTATCAGAGATCCAGGAGTCTGAACACACTGATCACAATAATAAAAATACATGTATTGTCTGCCCCCAAATGGGGGGAAGGGAAGTAAAACTGAGGAAAATAGGGGTCATAACATTTCTAGAAAGAAATTAACAGATGGAAATAGATCTGGGGCTCTTGTCTCCAGCAGAGGCAGATCAACTCAGGGTGCCTTTTCAGTGATAGCTCACCAGTTGTGATGAGGTGGAAATGTATAAAATTCCATGACTGCTAGACTTCATGAGGTCCCAGTGCTGGACAGAGAACAAGCAGTTCACAGCTTCTTAAAGCTTTCACTGACTTCACTGCAATCAAGTGTTGAAGGAAAAAAAGAGGTGAGATGCTCGTTCATACCCAGCAACAGCCCTGGGACTAAAAGAGCTACTTCTTTCTTTGACTGAATAAAAGTCTCTGGGATTGGGTGGCATATAGCAAGAAACAGCAGATGGTTTTGGTTCCCCAGCAGAAAAATTTGAACAGCCACTGCTCTAGGGAAGCCCTAGAGCAAAGAAAAATGATTCCATTTTATAGTGGTACATACCCAGCACTGTCAGTTTCATGCAATTCTAATCAAATGTATAGTTGTAGGTGCCATAAAAATAGTATTTGGCATAATCATATTGAATTATATTTCTGCTAGATATTTTCATGGGGTAAATGACATAATATAGGAGATTACGGATCAGTGCTGTATTTCTATGACTCTTCATACAGGTAAAACATCAGAATTTACATTACATAACCCTGCTTTACATATCTTCACTTCCAGAAAGATGAACTTAATACTCATGACACATCTTCCAGATACTTAGAATGTTATTTTATAGCCGACAAAGCTAAGGTAAGTCTAATCAAATTACAGTAATATTGCTTCTAACTGTCAGATGGCACATTTTAACTATTTTATAGCAATCCGTCTGCATTTAAGTCTCCCAGTAAAAATGTGTATGAAACATTGAAGTTTGATTTATAGTTCAGGATATGAAGCATTCTTCTTAGTCATTGGTTAGAAATTTAAATATACCCGTCAGTTGATGAGCACTCACTTAAATAATTTACATATCCATTAAAATGTAATTGTCACTGGTTATAGTTAAATCTATTCAGCCTGTGTGAAAATGGTGCTGTTTAAGGTTGGATTAATCTGCTTTGAGATTAACTGTGGGGTCTCAAATAATGCCTAGAAGAATATGCACTGAAATAAACTCAATAGACTCTCCTATTTGGATATCAGCATTCCACCAGGACGTCTTTTATTTATAGTGTAGATTCTGCTTAATAGTAATTTTGATTAATAGCAACTTCAGGTTAAAGGCAACATCTTCCCAGGAGTCAGTCCTGTCCCATTAACAACGATGTTTCTAGGATTCATATATTGCCCACAGGCATGCAGCTTATTACCAACTTTTTTTGTTTTGTCTTTTTAGAGGAGATGTTCTACCTGTAATCAGATTTCTGGCTCTGAGCATGTGCAGCTGAGTGCTAGTGCTATATGCTGTGACTTAATAATGTATGGACCTATCCCCCCAAAAATGTAGGTCCTGTAGGCCCTATGTGAGCCTGGTATTATATGCTATTTCCATCTAGTTGCAAGCCATGGAAGAGCTGGTTTTGTTTTGAGCGGTACGGTGATTGCTGGATACAGATAGTCTGTGAGTCAGTGAAGGGCATTTCAGCAGCAGTTTTTGAACTTCAGAAGGCAATGGTGATAGTTTTGTTGGGGAGCACATTTGTAGCAGAATTTAGATTCTTAATGCTTGCTACATGTTCCGCTCCTCTTTTACTTGGCAAACATCCAGTTGTTCATCTGACTTGCCTGGTTTGTTATGCAGCAGTTCATCTGAACTTTTTCCTAAGCTGGATAAGTGTCTTTTCCTAAGAGATCTAGGTGCTTGCCTTGGTTCAGCTGAAGTGAAAGGGTCTGTCAAGAACATGGAAGCATATATTTTCTGCCCATGAAAAGAGAAAAAGAGAGTAAGAATCTCCCTTTTCCCTTTTAGTGTTGTACATCACAACAAGGCCAAAGTTTGATATTTTTATCATCTCCATCAGACTCTTACTCCATCTTTATACACATGCCTGTTCAGATACCCGTGCTATACTCATATCCAGATGAAAGATGATGATGGAGAATTTAATCCAAGGGTTTGGATGGGGGTCCAAGCCCCTTTCCCATTCCATTTCAGACACCCTTCTTGAGCAACCAACTTTATTCAGGAATGCATTCCAGGACAAAAATCTCCAGGATACTCTCAGGAAAGTTTCGCAACTTCCCAAACAAAAGGCAATGTCTTTTGTACTATCTTTCATGGTAATCACCCCTTTCCCACTGACCACTTACAGTTGCATGCATACACAGGTCATGCCCTCTGCACCAAACTTCCTCCAATCATTAACACTCAGGTCATGCCCTCTGCACCAAATCCCCTCCAATCATTATCTACTCCCTCACATTCCCTTCTCAGGCCTTACAACAGATTCATACCAGTAAAACAGGTTTATACTGGTTTCACCTATCCCCTTCCTGTTGCAACCTGTGACCAAGCACGTACCTCTTTACAAAGACCAAGTTTGACATCCAGGTCACACAGAGGTCATACTGACAACAAATTAATTTTATCCTTCAATGACAATTTGATTTATTTTTAATTGGAACTGCTTTTGTAGTGTGGGGGTAGTCAGACCATGGCCTATTATAAGTATTCATTCATAACATTATTTCAGACCAGAGAAACCTTGGAAGATATTAATCTGTTGAATGACCTAGAGTGGAAGAGAGAGCAACTTTAATCCATCTTGGTCAGGGGGGAAGAAAGAAGACCAGGAAAAAGATGTGACTTCCATGCTCAATTGAAGCCAAACTCATACCCCTGAACGTAATCCCTCTGTAACAATAATTGTATTGGTCATTGTCTGAACGTCCCTTCTATTTATTCTGCAATTTCCAACATTACAGAAATAATAGAGTTGATCATTGCCACTTGCCAGGCTATAGCTGCAGTTCCTGCTGTCTTGCTTCTTCCTCTCCAGCTATCTCACAGGCTCATTCCTGAGCAACTCTTTGGAATATGGCTGCAGGCCCATTCTGCTGCATGTCCTGGTCTGGTGCCAGTTCCTGCTCCAGAGTCTTTTCTGAGGTCTTTTTCTGCTATTCCATCCCTTCTGTCGATGGGCTGTCTTCTGGTGATGTCCCTCTTTTCTCTTCCTTCAGTCAGAAAATCATCATACCATCCCTGTTAGGAAGCCTGTCACTGTGAGCTCTATACTCAGGATGGAGGTTAGCAGCAATGCAAACTCTTTGTCGCAGAGGCTAGTAGTCAGGGAGTTCTAGGACTTGCCATTGTCATTCTTGGCCCGCCAATAGATAGTTTTGAGGTGATTATTGTGCTCCCTGCACTAGACAGCAATCTGACTGATCCCTACTCCATCAGACTTTTTGAGATCTTCACATGTAAGTTCAGGTTTCTGATGCTTCTTCCCAAATCATGGGTCTTGCTTTCCTCAACCAGAACTCTGGCAAGCATCGTGTGTTTGGCTCAGTTTGGCTGAGTTCAGTAAAAAATGGAATAGTTCACATGGAAAGAAAAATGTAATGCTGACCATTGTATATGAACTGGTAGGTAGTTACAACTGCATGGAGACTAGTGAAAAGTAAGTAAATAGAAACCCTGGGAATTATGGGATGGTATTGGAAGGATAACTAACACACCCACTCAGTTAGACATGCTTTAGCTCCATGATCATTACAAAATTGGCAAGTAGCAAATACACCTTAAAGTGAAACATGTGCTTTTACCCATACCCTAGGTATGAAATAGACCATAGGTTCACAGGACATATTAACTATTTTGTGTTTGGATAGTAGGAGTTTTGGGGCTAAAACACATGTTAGAATATGGTTAGTCTGCAACTAGCAGTCTTAGCATGTCTCTAGCAGTTTTAGAGACTGTACTCTTGAAAACAGGGATGATGGTGGATAAGCCACTGAATATGAACTCCTAATGTAATGCTCTATCTAAATGAGTTAATAAAGTTCTTCCGTGAATAAACATGGCAATATTGAGTCAGAGTAAGAAGATGGTATTACTTCTGTATATAGTATTGGTAAAACCATTATTGAAACATTAAGTCCAATTCTGATATCCACACTTCTAAAAGGATGTTGCAAAATTCATGAGGATTCAGCAAATACCCACAAAGATTGAATTCTCAAAACCTGTTTTCCAGGGAGAGACTTAAGAAGTTAAATTTGTTCAGATTACCAAAAATAAAAATAAAAGATTGAGACATGACTTGAAAACATTCTGAGATGATGGAAGAGGATCTCTGAAAGTAGAGGCTCTTTAGTTTGACAAAGATATAACAAGACCCAGTGTCTGAAAATTAACCATGTGAACAATTTACAAAGGGACATGGTGGATTTACCATCACTAAGTTTTAAAACGAAGATTGGAAGACTTGATAAAATATATACAGTACTTTAGTCCAAGCTGAACATGAGATCCCATCATGGTGCTGCAGTCAAAAAGGCTAATGGGGACCTTAGATATGGAAATGGGAATCTTGAGTAGTAGTGGAGAGGTTTCTTAGCCACTGTGTTGGACACTAGTTCAACCACTACTGGAATATTGAGTCCAGTTCTGGTGTCCACAACACAAGAATGATGAACTGGACAATGTTCAGAGACTAGTCACAAGAACAATTAAAGGATTAGAAAAATGCCTTATAATGATAGACTCAAGGAGCTCAATCTACTCAGTTTAGCAAAGAAAAGCTTAAAGGGTGTTTGATCAATTGATAAGTACCTACAGGGACAACATTTATTTGATAATTAACTGACTCTTCAGTCTAGATCCAAGGATAAAAATCCTGATAGAGTACTTTCAGAGAAATAAAATCACAGGACTATAACTTACTTCTGTGAGCAGTGTCCCGATGGGTGCTCCACTTTAGATGTCTGTGTCTTCCTGCACCACAGGTCAGAGATTTCCAGTATCAGTGCTTGGTCAGGGTGTGTATGCATAGTAAGTCTCTTGTGGTGCTGTTGGCACCTCATATGCATGAACCCATTCAGTTCCTTCTCAACTGTCCTTGGCTGAAGACGGAGCTCAGTGGCAATGCTGACTCTTCCTTCTTCTCTCTCTAGAAATATTTTGATTAGATGTATGTGTGTTAGGGATGTAATAGTGAATCGATTAACTGATAAACAAAAGCTTATAGTTTAATGCTATAGACTACACGCAGTTCCCTCCCCCACCCCCGCCAGTAATTTTTTTAGCAGGCTGGCCAGCAGCCCAGCTCAGTCTTGGCTCATGCTGGGTCCGGGCCCTACCCCTGCTGCGGCTCTGCATTTAAAGTGTATTAGGAGCCAGGCAGGCAGGCAGCCTGGCTCAATTCCAGCTTGTGCCGGGTCCAGGAGCTCTGCTCCCCTCCAAGAGAGGGGTTGCTGCCACCCCACGCTGCTGCCTCTGTATCAGAGGCAGCAGCACAGGGCGACAGGCAGCCAGTCTGTGAGAGGAGCTGTTTTTTAAAAGTGCTACATGCTCCTGGCAGGGCGGAGGAAACGTCATGTGTTTCCCCTGCCCCCAAATCCTAATTGGCCTGGGGGTGGGGGAGTGGTAGAGTGTGCCGGATGCAGCCCGCGGAGGCCCTTTTGTAGGCAAATATGCCCTGATGTAGGCAAATATGTCTGAATCCTACTTAATGGAAAGATGTTTCATGAAATGTGCTACTGTTGAAAACTATCACATGGAATTAATTTCTGGTTGGGATGGAGATTCCAAAATATTTTGCTCTTTTTACTCCTAGTTTCGTCTTGAAGATTCCAATGAAACTTTAGTGACAATGAAGATGCTTCAGTATATCCACTTAACAAGTGAAGTGAGTTATTTATTCTTCCTATTCTCATCTTGGGACTCCTGTGGCTGATGCAGGGGTAGGACTGACCAATTGTACTTAGTCTAAGTTAGGAGCCTACCCAATTCAAGAGAAGGCTCTTATGCTTTGTTTCTTTTAACAATCACATTTCCTATTTCCTGCTGGCATGGAATAGAACCAACAAAATATAACCCATTTTGGCCTGGATCTCATATGGTAGCAGTCAGGAAGAGGTGAATAAATTGATCTTCAACTGTGATTAAGTAGCTGATTAGCATCAGCTGGGATAAAAGGCTCTAGCTCAGGCTGAAAAGGGAAACCACCAAACAATAGGCAGGCCATTCATCTAATTTTAGCTGGATGGACCTGTTTTTGGTAATGTTTGTTCTCATATGGTACTGTGTGTGGTTCTGTCTGGTGTCAGAGAATGCTGCTCCAACTGTGCCAGTGTAATCTTGCCACACGAAAAATGTCATTTTTCAAAACATGTTGCGGTGCCACTGCTAACATGAGCTTGCATACTGCTTGGGAGCTCACACCTTCCTTTGTGCAGCATGACCTCATATGTATGGTGCCTGCAAGGGCATGCTGGTAGAGGGAGCAAGTGGTGCCTTCTGCAAAATCCCATGTGGTGTTCCTTCACATGCACTGGCAGGGCAGGGTGGCATGCTCTGCAAAATGGTGTCCTCCATGTGGTAAAGATCTTTAGGCAGGATTATGCAGGCAGGGGTGTGCCTATGCTGTTTTAGAAGTATCTGGATTCCCAGTATTCTGGGGATGCAGCAGATACATGGTAAAGAGTTTGAGAGTTATTTTGAGGAAGTTCCTCAGCAGCAGATTGGGAAGACGCTTGTGATGTAGTGTCAGTACCTTGCTGGTTCCTGTGCCAATAACAAGGGCCTTGCGGACACACTAACAGGCCCAACACCCACAGGGGCTGATGATGCTAGGGCATTTCAAGAACCATTTAAGAGAGTGGTAGAGATATTAGACATTACACTCAGATGCTCCCCAAATCCCGCACAAGCTCACGAATCTCCTATAAGCATCGGTGTATTCAAAACTGGTCATCCCAATGAATGAGGCACTAATGGATCCAGCAAAAGTGATATGGACCACCCCAGCCACAATCCCCCCGGTATGTAAGAGAGCTGACAATACCAAATACCATGCAAAAGCAACAAGGAGTCCTGTGGCATTTTATAGACTAACAGATGTATTGGAGCATAAGCTTTCGTGGGTAAAGACCCACTTCGTCAGATAAATGTAGCTATATGCATCTGACGAAGTGGGTCTTTGCCCATGAAAGCTTATGCTCCAATACATCTGTTAGGGTATGTCTACACAGAAAAGTTATTTCAAAATAACAGCCCTTATTTCAAAATAACGTTCCGAGTGTCTACACAGCCAAACCACTATTTCGAAATAAATTTGAAATAGCGGGGTGCTTATTTCAAATTTGGTAAAACTCGTTCTACAAGGAATAATGCCAAATTTGAAATAGTTATTTTGAAATAAGTGCTGTGTAGACACTTATTTCGAAATAGGGGGCCTCCAGCCTTCCCAGGGTGCCATGGTGGCCACTCCAGCCTCAACCAAGAACACTTCTCTCCCTCCCCTGCTCCCTGGAGCCCTTAAAGGGGTAGACTCTGGCCATAGTGCCTGTGCCAGCTCCAAGCCTGCCAGCCCAGAGTAAGCAGTCACTGCCCCTGATCCAGGACATCACCACTGACAAGTGGTTGTTGGAAATCATAAGAATTAGTTACTGCATCCCCTTCACATCTATTCCTCCTTTCACCCCCCTTCCCTGACCCTCTTCAGGGATCCTTTTCATGAGACCTTACTCTTGTAAGAGGCGGAATGCCTCATGGCAATAGGAGCCATAGAGGAGGTCCCCGAACAACACAGGGGAAGGGGTTTTTACTCCCATTATTTTCTCATGATCAAAAAGTCAGGGGGATGGAGACGGATACTAGATCTATGAAAACTCAACTAATATGTCCAATACCAACGTTTCAAGATGTTTACTTTGGCTACAATTATACCTACCCTGGAGAAAGGAGCTTGGATGTCTACCCTCAATCTCCAAGATGCATATTTCCATATCGCAATTCACCTATATCACAGAAGATATCTCTGCTTCACAATAAAACACAATACAGGGTACTACCTTTCAGACTCTCCACAGCTCCAAGAGTATTCTCAAAAGTCCTGGCAGTCGTGGCCTCCCACTTATGTAAGAGCAACTTTACAAAATTCCCTTACCTCGACGACTGTCTCATAACAGGGCCAACTCACCAAGAGACGCAACAAGCTGTCTCTATAGCCACAGCTCTCTTTGGCATGTTGTGCCTAATGCTCAATACAGCAAATTGCATATTCACCCCTTCACAGACTCTGGAGTTTATAGGAGCATACCTGGATTGTACAAAAGCCAGAGCATTCCTATCTCACAACAGATGGCTGTCTCTCAAACACTTCATACAGACAGCACAGTCATGGCCAAGCATAAATGCACGATCTTGCATGCAGATACTGGGGCACATGTCAGCTGTCACCTTTATAGTCCAATACGCGAGGCTATGAATGAGACCACTACAACTGTGGTGCCACACAATATATCAACCTCACATCCACCTGCTGAGCAAGAATCTTATCATGCCTAGCCACATAAAAACCTCTTACATGGTAGACGGTACATGACAACATGTGTGCAGGAGTGCCTTTCCAGCGGCCTTCTCCACTCATCACAAATGCCTCACTCCTAGGTTAGGGAGCGCACCAGTGCCATGAATAGGCACAGAGACAATGGACATTTGATGAGACCAGACAACACATAAATGTACTAGAACTAAGAGCAATAAGGTATGCATGCCTTAATTTTCTCTCTTCCACACACACCCCATTCGGGGCAAAACAGTATACATGCTCACAGACAACATCTCAACAATATACACATCAACAGACAGGGAGAAGCGAGCTCCTACCAATTATGCCAGGAAGCACTGAGCTTCTGGGAATGGTACATTTTACAGAACATACAGCTGACAGCTACATATCTACCAGGCAAAGACAACGTATTGGCAGACAGACTATGCAGACAGTTTCCCCAGAATCATGAATGGGAGATGAACAAAACAATCCTCAATCATCTCTTCAAGAAGTGGGGTTTCCCAATAGTGGACCTTTTTGCAACCATCAGCAACTCCCAATGCCCACGCTACTGCTCCAGAGCAGGCATAGGTCCAGAGTCTCTGAGGGATGCTTTCAGTATAGAATGAAACGCACACTTAGCATACGAGTTCCCTTCCTTCCCATTGATACAGAAAGTGATCCCCAAAATCAGATGGGACAGCACTGAAGTGATACTTGTAACACCCAATTGGCCCAGACAAACATAGTATCCATACCCATTATGGATGAGCGTACTGCCACCGTATCACTTTCTGCCAGTATGTATGCTGATCATTCAACAAAATGGTCGAATCCCTCATCCGCACATCCACAAATTACATCTGCGAGCGTGGATGCTTTCTGGCTGACTCAATCAGAAAGGACATTCACAGAACCAGTTCAATGTGTCCTCGCCAACTCCAGACGACCTGCAACTAGAAAGACATATACTCAAAAATGGAAGAGGCTCCAGGCCTAGTGTGAAGCTCATGGACGCGAATTTCCACACACTGATGTATCTCACATTTTGCAATACCTGTTAGAATTACATAGCACAAGCCTCTCCCTCAATACCGTCAAAATGCATCTATCTCCGCCTTGCATGACCCAATCCAAGTACACTCAGTTTGCACACACCCATCAATCAAACAATTTATGCGGGTTCTACACAACCTATTTCCCCCCATAAGGATCCAACTCCAGCATGTGACATAAATCTCGTACTGAAAGTGCTCATGGGCAAACCTTTTGAGCCACTTGCCATGCTCGCTTCTACATCTCTCTGTGAAAGTGCTAGCAATCACGTCCACCAGACGAGTAGGGGAAATAGCAGCTTTGATGGCAAACCCACCTTATACTATATACCACAGGGATAAGGTCGTGCTTAGAACCCACCCCAAATTCCTCCCCAAAGTACTTTCTGAATTCCACTGCAATAAGCCAATACACTTACCTGTCTTCTTCCCCAAACCACACAAGGACACCATAGAAGCAACTCTCCATACCCTGCATGTACACAGAGCATTAGTGTTCTACTTACAGCACACTAAGCCCTTTAGGAAAATTCCACGGCTCTTTGTCCCTTCGACTGAGAGGTCACAGGGGCTGCCTATATCAAATCATAGACTTCAAAGTGGATATCTAGTTGCATCAAACTAGCATATATCATAGCCCAAAAAAAGTTATCACCAGCGGTACGAACTCACTCGACATGGGCAATGGCAGCCACCATGGCATTCCTACGAGGAGTATCGATGGAAAACATTTGTAAAGCCACACACCTTCACAAATCATGCACTGAAAACTTTCGCAGACGTGGACACAAACTTTGGCCACACAATACTCATGGCCTCACAATCTCAGCATCTGAAGCTCCCACCACCTCATATGAACACTGCTTCATAATCACCTAAGGTGGAGCACCCACGGGGACAGTCCTCGAAGAAGAAGGAGAGGTTACTCACCTCTGCAGTAACTGGAGTTCTTTGAGATGGTTGTCCCCGTGGGTGCTCCACCACTCTCCCTTCTTTCTTTTGCTTCGAGATACAGCATCTCCGGGGCAGAAAAGGAACTGAGGAGTGTGGGGGGGGGGGCTGGTCACTCATGCACAGTGGCCTGTATAGAACACACACCGGCTCCCTGCACGCACAGCCAGCCAAGGGTACTTCTGTAAAAGATCTTCGTCCTGGGCTCAGCGCTGAAGCACCCAAGATGGAGCACTCAAGGTGGAGCACCCACGGGGACAACCATCTCGAAAAACTCCAGTTTCTGCTGAGGTGAGTAACCTCTCCTTTCCTTCCTGGGTTACTCAGGAGCAGGCCACGCTTACCTGTGTGCCTGGGCGCCTGATAGTTTTAACATTAAAGGAGATCCTGAGTACCTCAGTGGTGATGTTTTGTAGTTGGGGATTCCCTATCCACTCCCTTGCTGCAGTCCCTTGCTCCTAAAGGAATATACAATGGTGATGCCTCCACCTGGCTAGCCCTGTCACACTTAATGTGCCTGGGGAGCCTCCAGTAATAAAATTATTCCAGTATAGGGTTGCAAGGTGTATTTGGACTTTGTGTCCGTTAAATAAATTGAGAAAATACCAAACATACAAATGTCCGGTATTTTCTAATTAAGGAAGTCTTTCTGCTTTTTCTGTTCGGCACCCGATGGAAGCCTGCTCGGGACACGCGGCAATTAAAGGGGCACAACCACTGCCACCCTTTATCCCAGCCAGGAGTGCACACTCCTCTGGATCTCACAGTCCCAGATATTTGCTTGCCTGGGCGCACTTGAAGATCTGCAGCTGGAGTGGAGACAGCCCTGGGCAGGTTCTGTGTGGCTACGTCTAGACTACAAGCCTCTTTCAAAAGAGAGCATCTAGACTGCAACCACTTCTTTTGAAAAAGTGAGCCGCCTTTTCAAAAGAGACCACCCAAGCAGTCTCGGTGCTCTCTTTCCAAAAAGCCCTGTTGGCATTCAAGAACACCTTTTTTCGAAAGAGCACTTTCAAAAAGTTGAAAAACTTTTGAAAAAACCGCCTTGTTCTTCTTCAAGGATGTCCCCACGGGTGCTCCACTATGGGTGCTGGGCTTGCCCCGGCGCCGCAGACGGAGACTTGTCATTAGCAGTGTCTGGCTGGACCACGCATGTGCCGCAGGCTCGCGGCTTTCGCGCTCTTTCTGTTGCGCGGTCCGGCCCCTCCGCCAGTTCCTCTTCACCGTCTCAGGCTGCAGATGCCTGTAACCGCGCTCCTCTCTCCACAGAGCTAGACGGCTTCTAGTTCTCCCTTTCTATATATAAAATTTCCTTTTCCTCCCTCTCCCCTCTCTTCCCATAAAGTACCTTCTGTTCTGCAATGTGATTTGTCCTTTTCATATTTGTTCTTTTTTTTAATTGTATCCTTTGGTATATATGGTTGTGACTACTTTCTTCCACTATTTGATCTGAGGAAGTGGGTCTGGCCCACGAAAGCTCATCATCTAATAAACCATCTTGTTAGTCTTTAAAGTGCTACATTGTCCTGCATTTTGCTTCAACTACCCCAGACTAACACGGCTACATTTCTATCACTATTCTACTGTTCAAAACCAACAAGAGATAAGAAGCAGTGGGCTCCTGACAAATGTCAGCTACCATGCAGAGTGTATTCGTTGCCTGGGGGAGTCTCACATCCCCCAAAAGTGTCACCATTGCCTAAGGCTCACCTCCAGAGCCAGGAAAGACAGGGAGAGGTGCCTCCGTATGCTCCTCTTTGATACAGCCCTGCAGCCACAGCAAGCTGACTTGAATCAGCAGCCTCTTAAGCGCCGGGCTTCCTCCCCTACTGTGGGACTGCAGAAGAAAATGGCATTGTCCCCAGCAAGATCCCTGCCAGCTGCCTTTAATGGCAGGGACAGCCAGGCACAGACACCGGGGACCTCTGGCATTCCAAAGCCATGTCCCCCTGCCTCCGGGCTTCAAAGACTAAGCGGCCACGGGAGCCTACAAAGACGCCGGCTCCCCAGCCGGCATCATTTCATCCGCTGCCTCCTCCGGCGCCGAGCACTGAGCCAGCGCCAAGAGCAGCCCCGGATCTGATCACGGCACCGGCCCCGACACCGGCCCCAGCACCGCCTTTGAGTCACCGTGCGGCGCCGACCCGTTCTGGGGCCAGCGCGGTGCAGATTGCTCCTGCTCTGCCGCACCAGGAGCTGAGTAATTCAGCGGCTAGCGCTTCAGCGCATACCGCAGTTCAGTCACCCCAGAGCCCTGCTGCTGCTTTCCATTCCCCACGCCGCCGCAGATACTCCAGTTCCCGCTTCTTCTCCCCAGCACCGTCCTCTCCTCTGCCGGTGCTGCGATCCCCACGCCGGTCCTCTCATCGGTGCCGCTCTCCGCGCAGCTCGTCGAGACTGCCCTCCCCCTTTCTGGCTGCTGCATCTCCCCATTGCAGGCACCAGTGCAGACATCTCTCTGCCTCTCCTGCCTCCTCTAGGGCATCACACCTCCGCTCCTGCTTGCCCTGCTCCCCGTACCATTATTGGTATGGCAGCCACTCCAGCTTCCATCTCACCACTCTTTAGAGCCGGAACATACTCCCTTCGTGCACCATGCCTCGGGGTCTTCCATTCCGGTCTCATCTCCTCCGGAGGATGCAGTGAACCCCGACGACAGCTCTCCTCTAGACGACCTCCATCAATTCCAAGAATTATTTAAACGGGTAGCGATTATACAGGAGATTCCCCTACAAGAGCTCAAAGATAAGCAACACAAGCTTTTTAGGAATCTCCAACCGCGACACAGTTCACGCCTCGCCATCCCTCTCGACGAAGGCATCCTGGAACTGGCTGACGAAGTGTGGCATGCTCCAGCGTCGGCCCTTCCCACCAACAAAAGAGCCAACAAGAAATATTTCATGCCACTAAAAGGCATGGAATTCCTCTTTGCCCATCCACAGCCTAACTCTTTAGTAGTCGACGCAGCTCAGCAAAGATCTAGAGCCTCTCACCTCAAGCACCAGGGCTCTGACAAAGACGTAAGGAGGCTTGACATCCGGGGCAGAAAGGTATACACCTCAGCGACTTTACTCCTCAGAATCGCCAATTACTCGGCGCATCTTTCCAACCATTCCTTCGATACAATTTCTCGCCTCACTCCTCTCATGGATCACCTCCCCGATTCAAAAAGATCGATCCTGAGATCAGTCATCCAAGAGGGCTACACATCAGCGAGAACAGCCCTCCAGATGGCCATGGACGTGGCTGATACTGCTGTTCGTTCTGCCGCTACGGCTATTGTTACGCGTAGAGCTTCTTTCCTTCAAGCGGCAGGAGTTCA